GCCTTAGCCGGTTGAGCTATAGGCGCCGAGCCCCATTGCTTAGTTTTATCTTTTGCATCATGGTGGAAGCTAGGTTCTGCCCTTTAATTTCTGAGTTCTTACTTTGCTGTTGATCCATTGTGATGGTCAGTGTGTAGAACAGGTTGAAGTATTTCCTGTAGAGCTGTTCTTATTGTGGTGAATTTCTTCAATGTTTGCGTATCAGTAAATGATTTGATTTCTCTGTCAGTTTTAAAGCTTAGCTTAGCAGGATATAGAATTCTTGGCTGGAAATTGTTCTGTTTAAGTAGATTAAAGGTAGATGACCATTGTCTTCTTGCTTGGAAAGTTTCATTAGAGAAATCTGCAGTCACCCTGATGTATTTGCCCCTGTAGGTCAACTGGCCCTTACTCCTGGCAGCTTGAAGAATCTTTTCTTTTGTCTTGACTTTGGACAGGTTCATCACAATGTGTCTTGGAGAAGCTCTGTTAGAGTTGAGGTGACCTGGGGTCCAATATCCCTCTGAAAGGCATCTGTCACAATCTTTGGTGATATTTGGGACATTTTCATTTATAATATTTTCTAGTATGGCTTCCATTTCCCTGGGGCGTTCTTCTTCCCCTTCTGGGATACCTATAACTCATATGTTTGAATGCTTCATAAAGTCTCATAATTCTGTCAGTGAACATTCTGCTTTCTCTCTTTTCTTTTCTGCTATCTCAAGAGCTTTGTCCTCTACCTCTGAGATTCTTTCTTCTGCATGGTCTAATCTGTTGTTGATACTTTCTATTGCATCTTTAAGTTCCCTAATTGACTGCTTCAGTTCCTTCAGCTCTGCTATGTCCTTTCTATATTCTTTATATCGCTCATCTCTCATTTGATTCTGTTTTTAGATTTCCTTTTGGTTATTTTCCACTTTATCAGCAGTTTCCTTCATTGTTTCCATCATTTCCTTCATTGTTTTCATCATCTGTATTCTAAATTCCCTTTCCGTCATTTCTAACATTTCTTTATAGGTGGAATCCTCTGCAGTAGCTACCTCACAGTCCCCTGGGGGGGAGGGGGCTGCTCTGGACTGGTTTTCATGTTGTTAGACTTTTTCTGCTGATTCTTCCTCATGAGTGATTTCTTTTATCTGTTTCCTTGCCCTAATTTTCCTTTCACTTCCTCTTGCTCTGTAGGTTATCATGCCTCTGGACTAGGGTTTCGATGAGTCCAGTCCTCCACTGCTTTTGTCCTCCTCATGGGGTCCAGAAGTCTCTTGCTGACTCCCCACATCCCAAAAAGGATGTTTCTTGGCAGATCCCACCAGCCAGAGATGCGTAGAGTCTTCTCTCCCCAGACTCACTGTGCCCACTTGCCAGGAAGCTATTACCCGGCCACCATCTTGCTCCTCTTGTATTTATTCTATCTCCAGGGCTGTTCATTTTTTTTATATATAGATCTGATATATCATTTTCTTTCTCTCTGAAGACCTTCTTATAACATTTATAACAAGGCAGATCTGCTGGCAACAAATTTCCCCAATTTTGTTCATCTGCTAAGAGTTTATTTCCCCTTCACTTTTGAAGAATAACTTCTGAAGAATAACTTTTCAGAAAACATTTTGGTATTAAAGATTTGCTACAGAAATAATAGATCAAGTAGCAATTTGAAACTGCAATAAATCAAATAGCAATTTTGAAACTGTCTATAAGATCCTAGGTGTATTGGGAGGTGGCAGTTCCCTTCCCCTCCATCACTACTCTTCATCCTTTCAGCCAGAAGGTCTCTTCCTCCAGAATGGCAGGCACCACTTTGTCTGCTTTCTATATTTGGTTCCTATATAAGAATTTATCTGGCTCGGCGCCTATAGCTCAACCGGCTAAGGCGCCAGCCACGTACACCTAAGGTGGCGGGTTCGAATCCCCAGCCCGGACCCGCCAAACAACAATGATGGCTGCAACCAAAAAATAGCCAGGCGTTGTGGCGGGCGCCTGTGGTCTCAGCTACTTGGGAGGCAGAGGCAAGAGACTCGCTTGAGCCCAGGAGTTGGAGGTTGCTGTGAGCTGTAATGCCACGGCACTCTACCCAGGGGGACAGCTTGAGGCTCTGTCTCAAAAAAAAAAAAAAAAAAAAAAAGAATTTATCTGGAGGCTTGGCACCTATAGCTCAGCAGCTAGGGTGCCAGGCACATACATCGGAGCTGGTAGGTTGGAATCCAGTCAGGGCCCACCAAACAACAATGACAACTACAACAAAAAAAATAGCCGGGCATCATGGCAAGCACCTGTAGTCCCAGCTGGTTGGGAGGCTGAGGCAAGAGAATCGCTCAAGCCCAAAAGTTTGAGGTTGCTGTGAGCTGTGATGCCATGGCACTCTACCAAGGGCGATACAATGAAAAAGAAAAAAAAGAATTTATTCGGAGAAAGGAATCTGAAACTAAATGAATGTTAGAAGCACACAGCATGATCTTTCTTCTCTCATTCCATCTTCCTAAAATTTGAAATTCAAGAATACCTGACTTTTGTGATGACTCAGAGTCCCTCAGATTTTGTGCAGAAGCATACACATTTAAATTTTGGCTCTCTAAAGATAACAAAATACAAGATTTTTGTTTGAGGGTTTGTTGTTTTTACCTTTGGTATCTTACCCTTTTCTTTTCACTCAACTATGGTTCACATGGTTTCCTTAAGCAAAAATTAAGATGTTCATATGCGATCTGTATCTGGACTCCCAAATTGCACCATATATGTTGTACAGCCTGGATTTTTAGGTATTTTTAGATAAAAGTTTTCAGAAAGTTGTTAAGTTTAAACAATTTTGCTAAAATTAGTATATCAAAAAGTAAAGTGTTTCTTAATTTCAAATTCAACCTTTAACATGTTTTCTTACATTGTTTGTTCTGGACAAATGCTATCTGCAAGAATGAAGTATCTTGAAACAGATTGTGAAAAAAGTATGAAAATTCATGTAATATAATCTTTAGAGTTATCAAAAGGACTTTACACAAGGAAAAGGAATCTTAATTGCCTTAGACCATATGAGACAATGGCTCCAACTGAAAGAAGTGGAAATATTGTCTGACACATGAGGAATGAGCCCACATTGTGGTTTGCTCTTGTCTACAGAAATAAATGGGAATGTTTCTTCTTACCTGAGATGAGCCAAGTTAAACCAAGATTTTTCAAACCCTAAATTGTTATACAATTTGAGAGAAGAAACAAAATTATCTGTTTTGGAAACCATCTTTATCTATTAGCAAGTTTTGCTATTTGAATAGCTTTATAAAGTTTGTATTTTTAAATTCATTATAGAAAAATGTTGGCCCCTTCAAATATTATTGTTTCTTGGTTTGTATGTAGGCTTTACTGTTCAACCTGGAGACCGATGGAGTCTAGAGGTGGGACAGGTGTATGTTATTACAGTGGAAATATTTGATAAAAGCAGCACAAAGGTCTATATTTCAGATGTGAGTCTCTCTTTTATATTTTTCTAAGCTCCTTGTATAGATAATTCCTTGAGTGTGCCATCTTTATTGCTAAAAAGCCCCCTTTCTGTTTTGCTTCCAAATTGTTACCTTTGGAACTGCAAATTACCAGTTTTCTATTATTATTAAATAGTTTTGATCTTGAGGAATGCTAGAACAGAAGTAAAAGATGTAATTTGGCCAGAATTATACAAAGGAGTTGAAGAGAGTACTAGTGATAACACTTAGGAGGGATCCTGATTCTACAACTTCACTCTAGAGATGATCACCACAGTTTTGTAGTGATGAGAGTAATAGTATGAGCATCAGATGTGACGTGTTGTACTTACTCACTCTCTAGGAACCTTTTCTTCCAGAATCAATTTATGGAATGGTACAAATTGCACTAAAATTTACGTAAGCTACAACTATCTATTCCTGATGCATCCCATTAATGAATCTTTCAAAAACTAGTACCATTTAAAAATTACATCTTCTGAGGCTGGGCACAGTGGCTCACACCTGTAATCCTAGCACTCTTGAAGGCCTAGGTGGGTGGATTGCCTGAGCTCACAGGTTTGAGACCAGCCTGAGCCAGAGCGAGACCTCATCACTCAAAATAGCCAACCATTGTGGTGGGCACCTGTAGTCCCAGCTACTTGGGAGGCTGAAGCAAGAGGAGCCCAGGAGTTTGAGGTTGCTGTAAGCTATGATGCCATAGCACTCAACCCCAGGGCAAATGAGTGAGATTTGGTCTCAAAAAAAAAAATTTACCTGGGTGACACCTGTGGTTCAAAAGGGTAGGGCGCTGGTCCCATATGCTGGAGGTGGTGGGTTCAAACCCAGCCCTGGCCAAAAACTGCAAAAAAAAAGAAAACAAAATTTTATGGGGCAGTGCCTGTAGCTCAAAGGAGTACAGCACTGGCCCCATATACCAGAGGTGGTGGGTTCAAACCCAGCCCTGGTTAAAAACTGCAAAAAAAGTTTTATATCTTCCCAACTTATTTCCACAAAAGACAGCAAAGCTTTGTATTATTTTTATTTTTTACTTTTTTTGCCCCTTGAATGCATAGCCATAGTTTTATATATGCTTTGGGATTAAAATGGCTTTAGGGAAAGACATATCTTCCAGGTTGTATTGCTATTGTGCTGATTTTCAGAATCTCAGGATTACATACGACTTTCTAAAGGATTACTTTGAAGAGCAAATAACTACTGTGAATGGATCTTACCATGTAGTAAAAGCCCTGAGAGATGGTGTTGTGGTGATAAACGCTTCCCTCACTTCCATTATGTCCCAGGTAGGAATTAAAAGAACAATCTTTGAATCCTAAGAACACTGACAAGATTTGGCTGAACTGTTGATTTGCAAGCAGATATATGGCATATACTACCTTTGTCTTCTTTTTATTTTTTGAGACAGAGTCTCACTTGGTCACCCTCGATAGAGTGCCATGGCATCTTAGCTCACAGCAACCTCAAACTCCTGGGTTCAAGGGATACTCTTGCCTTAGCCTCCCAAGTAGCTGGGATTACGGGCGCCTGTCCCAACACCCAGCTATATTTGAGAGACCGAGTTTTGCTCTTGCTCAGGCTGGTCTCAAACTCATGAGATCAAGCAATCTACCTGCCTCATCCTCCAAAGTGCTGGGATTACAGGCATAAGCCACTGTGCCTGGCCCACCACCTTTGTCTTTTATAAAAATAAAATAGGAAAACTGATAAACAACACACTCAGCAGTTTCTACCTCTACACATTTTCTGCCCCAGTCTTTACTAATGTACACACAGTAAATGCATTTGTAATCATTGTGTATATATCACTTGGGGCCCATTTAAAAAGTTATTTCATATGCACATTTCCATATGTCATCGGGTCCACAATGGGTGCTTTTTATTCTAAAGATCCAAAAAGTTAATATGCTATTTTTTAACCCATGTCCCCAATACTGAAATTTTTTCATTATTTCCAGTTTTTCGCTATTGTAAATGACATAACTGAGTATCTTTGTATATATTTTTCTTTTGGTTAATTTCCATATTACAGAATATGGAAAAAAGGATAAAATATCCTTTTAATTCTTTAAAAAAAAAAAAAGGGATAAGCAATAAATCAGTTTCTAATGCCTCTAAAATAGGTAAGTGTCCTGATATTAAATAGTCTGCCAAACCTGCTTCCCTCCTCCAAACCTACTTTTTCTCTTATTTTTCAGCCAATTGTTTCAGACAATATTCCAAGTCACCCTTGACTCTGCCTTCTAGTTCATTTTAATTCTTCTTTTTTTTTTTTT